TGCAGCTTAAAGTACTTTGTTCACAATGCCCCTATGAGTTAGGTAGTACAGATATTATTATCCCCATCTTACAGATAAAGAAACTGAGGCTCAGGGTGACTTCCCTACATCAACATAGCCTCTAAATGGTGGAGTAGGCACTTGAGCCCAAGCCCTCTTAGGGTCTTACAGCCCTCTGCTGCTTTTCCTACTACACCATGCTTCCAAGGAGTTTCCCATCTTCTGTCCTGTTGGTGCTGATGGGCACGTGATCCATAGAATTTATGAAAAGGTACCATCTGGAAGATTCCTTAGTGGAGCCCCGTGGTCAGTGATCCAGGCTGGTCTGCATTGTTGGGAAGAACACCCTTGAGTAGCCAAGGGTGCAGTCCAGAGAGATGTCTTCAGAGGGGACCTGGCTCCTCTGAGCCATTCTAGGACTCAGAGCCTCACTTGGCTCTCCCATGCATGATCACCATGGCCCAGTCAGCTATATGAAAGAATAGCACAGAGCTGCCATTATTATGAGCATTTGGGGGCATCATATGAGGGCAGATGAAAGGAAGAGAAGCAAAGCCTGTTGACTGTCATAGTAGGCCAGCCACTAACATTGAGTTCTGTGGCGGTTTCAGTGGCTTTCCAAGAGTGAGCCCAGGAAGGGCATAGCTGCATTGTCAGACGGCAGCTGTCTTTCCTGATGTAGGTATGCCTCTTCCCAGCATGCCAAGCCTTGGGATGGTGGCCAGGGAAACTCTGTATGTACGTCTGTGTTTTCCCTCCATGTGGTGCCTTATAGACTGTGGCTCTGCTTGGTACCCCACCAATGGCTGGGAGCCAGTCTTCTCGTATTCCTGTGATAACCAACGTTGCACAGACAGCCAAGGCTGTATCTCTGAAGCCTGTCCTTCCACTCTGCCTACATTGGCCTGGGCCTTAGCATGAGTCCCACACATACCTGCACTTGTGGCATCAGCTGCCTGGATGAAACACTGCCAAGTGGCCTTTTCCAGTTCAGAAAGGGTATCAGGCCAGATGTACCTTTGAAGTTCTTAACCTTTTCTGCTGCCAGGTGACAACTCTGAACAGATGTTTAGCACGGCAGGGTTAGGAATCCTAATCGTTGCTGCACCAAAAGGAACATCTGGGCTTTCTCTTTAAAAGTGAAACTTCCCTAACTTGCTTCTCAAAGTGACTGGGTCTGTATGGGACAACATAGTTAATGAGGGTAGAGAAATTCTTGACAAACCCCAAAGTTGAATGAGCTGCACATAGGAAGGCTTGCACTCCCAGAAGCACCTAACGAAGCTCATCAAATAGAATGGCACTCTGATTTTACTGATTGGGCAAATGATGCCATAGGAGGGAAATCAGCTAGTCCAAGGCCACTGAACTGGGAAGTACCCCTGGAAATAGGATCTACAAAGAAGGTAGCAGAGAAGAAGCAGACCGTTAGGGCTAGAATTGACCTCCTCTTTGCCCCTGTCATGGCCCATGGCATATGTATCTGTGTGCATATGGCCCTTCCAGTTCTAATGTCCTTTGAATCTCTGAGGCCTGGACTTGAAGTTAAGAAACCTGGATTGACTCAGCCAGGTCACTGCCCTTTCCTTGGTTTCCTCCCTTGTAAATTAGAAACAATAATTCTGGGATGACCTACCTTTCAGGGTCGTCATGAGGCTTAGCTGAGAGTGTGTGCATCTGTGTATGTCTGTGTGTGTGTGTGTATACATATATATATGTATATGTATATATACATATGTATGTCAGAGAAATTGAAGATCTGAGAGTTTGGACTGAATTGCCCATGAGCCCTGGCACAGGCCCTACCTCCTGCTGTAGCCTTGGACATGTCCCAGGGCCCTCTGCGTGTGGTACAGAGGTTCCTTATCTACAAGATGGAGAGGCTGAACAAAACATTCTCCCTTCCAGCTCTGACATTATTCTGTCCTGTGACTGCCATTTGTCAGAGGGGGGTCAGACTTAATGGTCTCTGAACTCCTTTCCAATTTAAATATTATAGCATGCTGGTGGGACTTGGCAACATGTTGTTAGCAAGTAGTTTGAGTTACTGGATCTGCTCTATTTCTGTTTTATAAAAGTTGGTAATTACACACACATACATGCACACATACACGTACAGATGCAGACATGTATTTACATACATACATACACACACAGTGCCCAATAATTAGTCCCAATCAGTGAAATTTTACTGTATTTGATGCCCAGGGAGGGGGCTGATCCTAGTGCCTGTCACCCTTCAGTGACATAGGCGGAGCACCATCATAGAGGATTCTGCTTCTCCTGCTATATTATGCTTAGGTGACGTTGGGCCTCCTCTCTCTGAGTCTCACTTCCATCTTTTATAAAATGATGAAAGTGTCAGACTAGATAGTCCTTACAACCTATGCTCCAAAGAATGCTGGCCAAAGATTTGGGAACTCCAAGTGGATGCAGCTGGTGCCATATTATTATAAACCAGGCTCAAAGGTCACATTTATTTTTCATCTTGGAGCACCTTAAGCTTTACAAGATATTCATAATGACCAGGAGGTTCAGAGTACATACTTTATTATCCCAATTTACATATGAAAAAACTGAGGCTGTCAGAGATTTAAGTGATTTGTCCATGATGACAAAGCTAGTAAATGTCTGAGCTGAGACTTGAAGTCAGATGTCCAGACCCTGAGACCGTTACTGTTGTGAGCATGCAGGAAGGCTGTCCAAAAAGTGCTCATTCATTCATTCATTCATTCATTCATTCATTCATTCATTTGGTGGGCTGTCCATTCTATAGTACTAGCATGTGTTCATGGTAAGTGCTTATTATGTTTGGTGAATTGAAGACATGTAGTTTGCCTCCCAGGCCAGTGGAGCTTATGTATCCAGCCACTCCATACCACTGCCTTGGGGAGGCTTAGGCAGTGAGTCCATTTGTTGGACTTGGAGCTAAGAGACATTGGTCCAAAGCCGATCTTTTAATACAGAGTGGCTGGGTGACCTTGGGTAAGTTTCTTCCCCTGTTGGGGCCTGTTTTTTCCATTGAAGAAGGGGAAGCCACTTACAACTTTTTTTAATATATATACATATATAAATTTATTTATTTTTAGTTTTCAACATTTACTTCCACAAGATTTTGAATTCCAAATTTTCACCCCATCTTGCCCCTCCCCCCACCCCAAAATAGCATGCATTCTGAATACCCATTCCCCTAGTCTGCCCTCCCTTCTGTCTCTCACCCCCTTTCTCTTATCCCCCTCCCTGTAGGGCAGGATAGATTTCTGTACCTCATTTCCTGTATTTCTTATTTCCCAGTTGCATGTGGAAACATTTTTTTTAACATGTCTTTTTAAAACTTTGGGTTCCAAATTTTCTCCCTTCCTCCCACCCCACCCACCCTCATTGAAAAGGCAAGCAACTCAATACAGGCCATACGTGTGCAGTTATGCAAAACACTTCCATAGTAGTCATGTTGTGAAAAACTAACTCTATTTCCCTTAATCCAGTTACAACTTTTTTCAAAAGCCTATGTATGATCAATAAATTATAGCACATGAATGTAATAGAATATTGCTGATTTGTAAGCTATGGTGACTAGGCAGAATTCAGAGAAGCACAGGAAATTGGATAGATGAATGGATGGATGCTTGGGTGGATGGACTGGTGCAAAGTGGAGTAAATAGGATACATGACTACAACAATGTAAATGGGAAGAACAAAAAAACAAAGAAAGGAAAAACCGAGTGCTGTATAAGTCTAATGGCCAAGTTTGGCCCTAGGGAAGAGGGTAATAAAGGCACCTCCCTCTCTTCTTTTCAGAGAAGGGGGCCTGTGGGTGTAAAACATTGCATATACTGTCAAACTTGGTTGGTGTGTTAGTGTTGCTGAACTACCTTTTTCCCTCTTTCTTTTTTATTCTTTATTACTAGAAATGAAGGTTATATAAAAAGAGGCAATCAGTAAAATACTTTTTGAATAAATCCTATGGTCAGCTCTGTGAGTCAGCTGTACTGATCCCATGCAGTGGCTTTAGTTAGTGTCCCCTCCCTGCCAAGACCTTTAAGCAGAGGTAAAGCCACTTGGCAGGTGTGTCGTGGGGGCCATAGGGTCATTTCCTTCAGGGATGGCTTGGACCAGGCAGTCACAGAGGCCCCTTCCAACTCAGAGAATCACTCTGTGATTCACCAGAAGCACAGGAAATCTCTCACCCAGTCTCAGCTCCCATTTACACATAGGTGTAAAGCCTTGCACTGAAACCCAATCTTCAAAATCCCATTGCCTTGAAGCTTCCTGATGGAAGGCCTTCTCCGGCCCAAGCCTGATGCTGCACTCCTCCTTTGCCCAGGCTCACCAGGCCCTTTGTGTTGTGGCTGGAGCTGGTCTTAGGCCCCAGGATAATGGCCATGGGGCATGGAACAGTAGAAAGAGAACCAGATTTAGAGTGAAGCCTTGGATTCAAATCAGAGAGATCTCTGTCATACACCTAAAAGCCATAGGCCTGTGAGCAGGCTTCTTGTGTATCCTCTCTGGTCCTCTTCTCTTCCTGTAAAACAGGCTCAGTCATGCATGAAGTACCTCCCTCACAGCCTGAGGGAAACATGCTAACTAGGTGACCTTGAGTCAGTCTTTGCTCCTCTCTGAGCCTCAGTTACCTGGTTTGTAAAATGTAGTGATGACATACTCTGCCTCATGGGGTTGTTGGGAGGAAACACTCAAGTGTCAGAGAAGTGGGAATGATTGTTCATCACAATAATATTGCTGAATGCTCAAGAGATCTGTGACCTCATCAGTGTTGTGTACATCGTCCAAAATGCCAGGCCTTCCCATTCTGTCCAGCTGTCATGCACATCCTCCCACAGGCTTACTCCCGGGAGTCTTCTAAATGTGATAGAGACCCTGTGCACTTGTTCTGGCCATCCCATGGGGCTCTCACCACTATTTCATCAATGGTCTCTTTTCTTCCAATTCTTCAAAATTCCCTCTTGTATAGTAGACTTACCTTGTTTATGTTTCCTTTGCAGCTGATGGTAGTAGAAATCTGAGCATGGAATCTGCACCAATGGCTCTCCCGATGTCGGACCCGAACGCATGGGCCACAGCGATGAATAATCTCAGAATGACACCACTGGGAATTGCAGGACAGCCTATGCTACCAGGTATACCATCTTCTGTCACTGTGGCACCTGCCAAAGTCACGTCTGTGTTGAGCACCCTGGGGTGGGGCACAGCATAGGGACTAGAGCTCTGCAACGCCCAGCTTCCTGTCCCACTTCTGCCTCTCACTGGCCATGCCACTGAGAAAGCTACATCTGAGCCTCAGTTTCCTCCTGTGTAAAATGAGGAGAACAGTCTCTCAAATGAAATAACAGCTGCCAAGCCGCTGCCCAGTTTTAGCACGGGGACAGCCCATGTCAGCATTGCTCACCATTATTATTGTCATGGTCATCAGTGTGCCAATGATGAGGACGCCCCTTCTTTTCCCATGGGATAATGACAACTTTGGCCAGCCTCTGGTTATTATGGAAAGCAGCAGAGGGAGCCCTGACAGAAAATGGAGGGCAGGCCTGGGGTTGGACACTCAGGAAAGAGCAACCAGGGACCTTTCTCATGGGACATCTTATAATTGCACACTTTGTAGGGCCAGAATATCCTGCTCTCTGGAGCAGGGATAAGTCAAGTCAACCAGGCCAGATGCTATGCTGAGCCCTGAAAGTGGGAAAAGTCCCTGCCCACCAGAAACTTCTAGGCTAATGTGGGAGACAACATGTAAATCAATGGGCACATACAAGGTGCAAGCAGAGTAGATGCAAGGTCACTGCAGAAGGGAAAGGCCCTGGCAGCGGGGAGTGTGCAAGGTCTCATGTAGAGCCTTGGAGAAAGCCAGGGATTTTAAGAGGAGGAGGAGGAAGAGGGGAAGGTGAAGAGGAAGAGCATTCCAGGCATGGATGGGGCACAGCCAGTGCAAAGGCGTGGAGATGGGAGATACAGAGAAACAATAAGAAAGCCAGTTTGGCCAACTCATAAAGTGAGGGGAGGGGAACAATGTGTTATAAGGCTGGAAACACAGAAAGGTTCCAATTGTGGTGGGCTATAAAGCTCCAAGAGAGGAGTTATATTTGATTCTAGAGATAATAGGGAGCCATTGGAAGTTGTTGAGTGGGGGAGGTGGGTGGTCAAGAGTGGGGGAATCAGGGTGGGTCAGTAGGGGAGGATGACATGGTCAGATGTGTACTTTAGGAAAAGAGGCAGCTGTGGGGAGTGGGGAGAGCCTTGAGTCAGGGAGACCAGGTAGAAGGCTGTTACTTTCCTTAGCCCAGGGGAGAGGTAATGATGATGACCTGCACTTGGCTGGTATAACATGTGGTACAGGGGCTACCCAAAGCCTTCCATGGGCTCTGTCTGCAACCCAGGGGGGTTCCAAGTGCCTCGGCCCAGCTCTGAGCAATGGCCTAGGTATAGAGTCCTGGAACCTCAGCATTGGAGCATCGTCTGCCCCTCGCCACATCACTAGGCTCTTTCTGCAGTCTTTAATTTTCAGGAGTCTCGAGGCCCCTTTAAATGAAGGGGTCTAGGTGTTAGGCATCTGCTGTCATCTCCAGTGGGGCACCTCAATCTCCTGAAGGCTGCATGGATCTAGGTAAAGAACCTAAAAAGGAGATGTTTCATTTCCATCTCTAGTCACTGATAATTTCTTATGTTCTATGAACCAGGGATCCACAAGGTCCCCATAAGCTCTGTAGGCCTGTGGTGTAGCATTTCTGTTGTGGGTAGCATTACTGGGTGAGAAACTTGGCCATTTTCAAAACCTGTGGAGGATTTACAGAGGGACATAAAATTTCTCAGGAGCAAAAGATGGAAAGGGGCAGTGATCTGTGCCAGTGGAGGGGCTTCCCACATTTGAAGATCACTGAATGGTTGCCATGTTATTTCTCACCATCATGGTGTGATACTTGGGCAGCTTTGTGAGCTCACTGATGCAGGTATTCCTTTCAGTGCGCAGACCAAGCTGCCACTCTGAGTCACAGCCCAAGATCACATCAGTATTTTTCAGCTGCTGGTATTCCATTTTGGATTCCTATTGAGCCTGTAGCCCATGGAAACCAATTGAAGATGAGACAGCTAAGCCCTGGGGCAGCTAGGTGGCACAGTGGATAGAGCACTGGCCCTGAAGTCAGGAGGACCTGAGTTCAAATGTGGCCTCAGACTAAACACTTGACACTTACTAGCTGTGTGACCCTGGGCAAGTCACTTAACCCCAATTGCCTAAAAAGAAAAAAAAAATGAGGAGACAAAGCTAAGCCCCTTCCCAGAGTCCCTGAGAGCAGCTCTGAGATGAGACTTCTTCAGGCACATGAGTCAGGAGCCCTTACGTCCTGGCTCCAGGCAGTACCAATAGAGAGGAACTAGAATCCCTACACTCCCATCTCCCACCCCTCCAGAGTCAGCCAGTCATAAAGCACTGAAGGTTATAGTTCTGGCCTTTCAAGCTAGAAGGGACCATAGAGGTCCTCCATGCCAGTCCCTTCATTTTAGAGCTGATGAGGAAGAGACTTCCCCAAAGTCCTCCTGTGAGAGGAGAGTTTTGAACCCAGGTGTTAAGAGTCTAAATTCAGAATTCTTTGCTGCCACCATGCTATGGCTTTTCTAAGCCAGCCGTATGCCTCTGATAATTATCACAGTGAACACCTAACCAAGAGTTGTACTCTGGTGGGGACTCAGATGAGTCAGATGGTGGCCTGATTGACAGCTCCCCATTCAACTCTGCTCATATCTTCATTTTGTGGACTCCTACGCTTAGATAATGTGTCATTTTTAAAATCCCCATCAGCTAAGTGCTTGTGTAAATGTCCCTTCGATGAGATCTGCAGTGTGGAATAGTGGACTGGGCCACAGAGATGGAGTCAGCTCCAGCATGTGGATGCTGGGGGACCTTGGGCACCTCATGTAAACCACTTTGAGCCTCCCTTTCCTTATCTGCAAAGTGAAGCTAATAACATTTGTGCGAACTACATCACAGGGCTGCTGGGAAAAGGCTTGGGGTAGGATAGAGTTATCAACATTGCTATTGTCACTGTTATCTCCTCTCATTATTAACATCATAAGAAGGTCTTCCTGCCTTCTTCTCTCTTCTCTCCTCTTTTCTCTATTTTCTCTCCTCCTTTTTCTCTCCTTCCTCCTCTCTCCTCTTTTCTCTCCTTTTTCCTCTCTCATTTTCTTCCCTTTCTCCTCCTTCCTCTTTTTTCTCCTTTCTCTTCTCTCCTCTTTTCTCTCCTTTCTCCTTCTCTTTTCTCTCCTTTCCCCTCTCTCCTCTCTTCCCTCCCCTCTCCTTCTCTTTTCCCTTCTTTCTCTCCTCTCCTCTCTCCCCTGCTTTGGTCGGTAGACAACAGAGCACTTCTAAATGCCCCCTATTCAGGGGTAGAGGGTTGGGAAGAAAGTTCGGAGGGTGAGGAGGGAGAGTAACAAAATCACCACATGTGTGAGAAAGTCGCCTGAAGGGCTTTTAGAGATGTTCATCCTGAAGTGACTTGCCCAGAATCCCCTAGTCCCTGACCTAGGCAGATTCTCCTGGAGGTCTTCTGGTCCCCAGGCCAGAGTTCTTTCCCCAATTTCACGCTCACTCCATCCTTGTCTGAGCTATTTCCCTGGATGTTTCTGGCAGTGCTAGCCAAGGATCCTTTTCACAGACTCTCAAAGGTGCCATCTAGTCCAATCCACCTTGGAACAAGAATTGCCCTCCACCATGCCTGACAGTGAAGAGCAATCCACTGCCTCCCAAGGCAGCCCACTTGAATTTGGCTTTTGTTATTAGGAAATTCTTCCTGCCATCGAGCCTACATCTGTCTCTGCAACGTCCACTGGGCCCAAGCAGAATACAGATCTAATCCCTCTTCCATATGACAGCCTTTCAGAATACTTGGAGATGGCTTTCTTGGTCCCCCTGGGTCTTTTCTTCTCTAGTTCCTTCACCTGCTCCTTGCCATACTCTTGGTAGACTATGAGCTAAAAGGTTTCAAGGCCCTTCCAGAGAATTGCAGGACCAAGGTAGACATTTGGGGGGGGGGGAGGAGCGGAGAGCTCTCATTCCACTGCTTCAGCCCAGCCCCAGCCTCAGTCTTCGGCTCTGTTGCATGGACAGAAGGGTTTCAACATCCTTGTGTGACTGTACATTCTGTCTCTGGTGCTGTGGTTAGTGATCCTTGGCTCTGGCCTTGTCAGGGCCATAGATAGATAAAGCACTGGCCATCAGGCCTGGAAAAGATTTTATATAGGGTTAAAATTTCTCAGCATCTCAGTATAATTTTCTTTCATTTTCCAGTGGGCTTTGTAACAGTTCAGAAGGAATGAAAATAATTTTCCAGAATTATGTAACCAATTTTGAATCCTAATCTTCTACAGAATGGTTTAATTATGCATATATAATCATATCCTCTTTGGAAATGCTTGCTTGAGAACAATCCACGTATGCATTTGAGCAGCTTCCCTGGGAGCACAGACCCGCCTTGCGGGGCTGGAGGTGTCTCAGCAGCACTCAGAGACTGATGCCACGTCATACCTTTTGCCTGCCGTGGCCAGGTGGCCATCATGTGGTTATTCAGAGAGACTGCAGAGAACAGCTTTTCAGTAAGGCAGAGAAGGAGGCGGCCCTGGCCAGCTGGCTCTCTAGAGAGGGCCTCTGGAGGGGCCCCACAGAAGGGGCACAGTGGGAGGGAGAGATGCCTTCCCATTCCCCCAAAGCTCTCACTGACCAGCCTGCCCAGACAGTGTCCTCCTCACCTGCCAGGCCTGAAATGCCACCATAAGTCATTTCCCTGGGGAAGATAGCAAAGACCCAGAACAGGACTCAGAAGGCTTTTCTGTCAGCACAGAGGACTTGATCTGGGTGAATGGAAGAGTTCAGTTATGGACAGTGACAGGTAGAGAAATGAGCCCAGGATCTGGAGTCAGAGGGCCTGGGCCCATCCTCTAGTTGTGCTCCTTAGCCCTGCGATCTAAAGCTAGAAGGGACGATAGACGTCATCTTGGCCAGCTCATTTGACCAATGGTCTTTGAATTGCCACACTAATGGCCTCTTCTCCATACTCATCCTTCTCTGCTTCTCTGGACCACCTTCTCCTCCTGGATCTGTGGCCTGCTCAGGGTTCTCGTCCTGCCTATC